AACCCTCCTACGTATATACATAGACTTATATATCATATTATATTATATTATATGTGTGTGTGTGTGTGTGTGTGTGTGTGTGTGTGTGTGTGTGTGTGTGTGTGTGTGTGTGTGTGTGTGTGTGCGGAGAGAGAGAGAGAGAGAGAGATGTTTCGTTAAAGACGACTGACAAGGTACTGCGATTAAGCTTTTTATTTAATTTGTCTTATGTTCGTACGAGTGTTTTCTTCCCTGGACACAAATTGGGTAAAAACTGTCCAAAACTACTGCATATCCGAGCGCTTTCGGATATTCTTTTAGCCATTATCAAGGATGATTTTTATTTTTAACTATATGCGTGGGTTTTCATGTATGCGTTTGAAGTTATAGGAATGTTTTACGTTCCCAATAAGGTCAGCACATTGTGGCGGTATTCTTAATTAATGTTATTGAGTGTTGACGTTTCCTTTTTTATTATTAAGGATTCCATTATTTTTTATCTTTTTTACGTACAGATGATACTTGTATTTTCTACTAGTATGTTACGGGTGGAGTTTGGTAGGTTTAAATGAGTCCTAATTGAGGTATGGTCAGGTAGGGGCAATGGGAGTTGTCTAGATAGGCATGTACTAGTATGACCAATATAATTATTTATGAGTTTGGTTTCCTCAGGAACACAGTCCCGTAAATATATTGTAGCTTTGATTTTGTGGGTGTGTTATTACTTTAGATGATTAGGTTAGCTGTTTTATTTTTTTGTAATAGATAACTAATTTTCTGCCCAAATGGTTGGTGAATAAAAAGTAACTCCCTATTTAATGTATGACTGGTCAATCAGGAGACCTTACTTAACACCCTATGACTTTTTTTTTCTTTATGGTTTGGTAAAAAGTAGCAAGTCTATTACATCATACCAAATTTTATAAGAACTTGAAAGGAGAATACAAGTTATGTCTTCCATACCACAAGAGTTTCTAGTGAAATCAGTTGACGTGATTCCTGGGTGGTTCGAGAAGCTGATAGCGAAATCTGGGACCCATATTTAATTTTAAATATGACCTTATATTAAACGCTTTCCTCTCGTATCCATTTCTTGTAAAAATTATAGTT